TGTCAGCCTTGGAAACACTATAGGGGCCATTCTACTATGTCTTGTAGGGGGCTAGGAGTTGGTTTACCCCACAGACAAGCAGGCTGGCTCCTCGGGGTGGTGGGGTCTGATTGAGAGGGTGGACTGGTCCCTACCACCAGCTCTCCCACCTCAGCCATGTCGGCAGTACCGTTTCCTGTGGAAATGATTTCCTACCCATAGGGGCTGGGGGCTTACAACCCCAACTTCATTGAAGATGAACCAGAGCTGTCAGATACCATCGTCCCATAGGCTCTGTCCTTGGAGTCCTGCTCACGGTACCACTTACTGACGCCCACGTGCTTTACCAACAATCTGGAGTTTTAACATGATTCCACACACACACACCGGCTCCCTTTCATTTTTCCTTCTCAGAATGATTTCACAACTGTAGTCCCTCACATTTCCCCCTAGGGTGGCTGTTTGTAATTTTAGGATTTCTTGTCCTAGACAGCAGACTCGGTAGCTGTTCACACCACGTGCCCCTCTGTTGCAAGGCTTGTAAAAGGGTCAGATGATGACGACGGAGCTAGGGGTAAATTCAGTGACTCAGGCTGACAGAGTGCAGAGGGTTAGAGCCCATGTGAATTTAAATAATCCTTCTAGTCAACCCGCTTGCAAGTGGGGAATCTGAGGTTTGCAAAAGTTAAATGTCCTTTATCAGGACAAATTTAATTAATAGTAGACATGGACTCAAAGTCACTGGGTGGTATAAAGAATTACTGCACTCAACTGCCAATAGGAAGGTTGGTGCTCCAAGTCCACCCAGAGGAGCCTCAGAAGAAAGACCTGGCAACCTAGTTCTGAAAAACCAGCCACTGAAAACCCAACGGAGACAAGCTGGTTTCCTGTGTGTACTGCGTTGGTTTGTTGTTGTTAAGGGCTATGAGTCGGTTCCAACTCATAGCAACTACATACAGGATTTCTAAGGTGCAGTTGATAGGTTTGAATTGTCCTTGTTGTTGTTAAGTGCCATCCAGTCGGTACTGACTCATAGTGACCTTATGCATAGCAGAACAAAACACTGACCAGTACTGGGCCAACCTCACAATTGGGGCCACGCTTGAGCCCATTGCTGCTGCTGCCACTTGGCCAACCCATCTCGCTGGGGGTCTCCCTCTTTTTCTCTGACCCTCCACCATATCAAACATGATATCCTTCTCCAGTGACTGTTCCCTCCTGACAATATGTCCGAAGTATGAGAGACCAAGTTTGGCCATCCTGGCCTCTAAGGAACACTCTGGCTGCACTTCTTCCAGAACAGATCTGTTGGTTCTTTTGGCAGTCCATGGCACTTTCAATATTCTCCTCCAACACTACAACTCAATGGCATCAATTCTTCCACGGTCTTCCTGATTCACTGTCCAGCTTTCACATGCATAGGAGGTTACTGAAAATATCATAGCTTGGGTCAGGTGCACCTTAGTCCTCAAGCTGACATCTTTGCTCTTCAACACTTTAAAAAGGTCTTGTGCAGCAGATTTGCCTAATGCAATACG